TTTGATCCCTATTCAGCTGAATTCCTGAGACCAGACGAAATCTAGGTCTCCTACTCCTCCGCCATCTTGCCTATCATCGTAGCCACCATCTTTTACCATATATGTGATTACAATATCATTGGCTATATTCCTCATGCCATGCCTTTCATCCCTGTGACTTACTCATTCCAGACCTAGACGCCTGTACCTCCCACTTCTTTTCCCCTATTTTGCTCATCCCCCCATGCCTCTCCCCTCTGGCAATCATCAGTTTGTTCTCTGTGTTTACAAACAGATCAGGTCTGTTTCTGCTTTTTGTTTATTCATTTGTTTTTGTTTTTGTTTTAGATTCCACATATGAGTGAAATCATACGGTAATTGTCTTTCTCTGCCTGACTTATTTCACTTAGCATTATACCCTCTAGGTCGATCCATGTTGTCACAAATGGCAAGATATTGTCCTTTTTTATGGCTGTGTAATAGTCTGTGTGTGTTGAGGGGGTTTTACATTGTCCTTGTCCATTCATCTATTCATGGACACTTGGGTTTCTCCCATATCTTGGCTATTGTAAATAATGCTGCAGTAAACTTGGGGGTGCATGTGTCCTTTCAAATTAGTGTTTTCATTTTCTTTGGGTAGTAGTGGAATTATTGGATCCTATGGTATTTCTATTTTTAATTTTTTTGAGGAACCTCCCTGCTATTTTCCTTTCTTATCCCCTTTCCTTTTATGGAAACCCCTACAGCCCCCATCACAGTGTTAGAATTTGATAAAACCCAGAGAGCCCTCTGCCCTCCCCTTGTTGACACGACACCTCTTCTAGTGCCTCAGTGACTGGGATGAGAAGTAGCCCCGATATTTAAAATCCTCAGGCAGTCAAAAGTGTCCATTATGGCTAAGTAGCTGTAGCCTCTCACCCTATCATGTATTTTGCAGGTGGACTAAAGAAGGGATGATAGAATAGGTTGTTTTTCATTCAGTCGTGTCCTCAGTGGTTATTTACTGAACACCACTTGTGCAGGATCCTCTCTAAATCATGCCCATTGGTATGTGGTTGCCAGTAAATGACAGTGCAGCCAGAGGGTGAATAATGAAAAATGAGAAGGAAGGGAAGCCAGAGGTGGGGTTGAAGCAGCTGGATGTGTCTTGCGAGCCTGTGGACACAGCATGTGTGTATTGGGTTCCCAGGTTGTGCACTTAAGCTGTATGTGACGCTGAACTTGTATAGCTAGCAGTGAGGGGCTGGGTCACTGTCCCAGACTCCTCACTCCTGCCCTTGCCATGGGCCCTATGGGCCCTGTGCTGTGTCCCTCCTCCAACCCTGTGAATGAAGCAGGGCCCCGAGGGTCATCGGGCCAAGGGATAACACAGGAGGTCAGAGGGCCCTGGTACCTAGCTGTTCCTGGCCAGCAGGAGTGAGGTGTGTTCTGGCCTGGGCATATCCTGCCACCTTCCTCCTGCACCCCTTGACCCTGTCCCTTTGTGGCATTTTGCTTACTCAGACCAGTAGTTACCAGTGGTTCCTCTGGCCACACCTCTCTGGAGCTGTCTGACCCCCTGGGCCGACCATGGACCTCCACTCTCCAGAGGAACCCCATGGGAAGAAAGGCACATTGGTGGCATCTGCTGGACTCGGCGTGTTCACTGCCTTCTTTTTCACGGTTATTTCTAAAACAGAAATAAAAGTGGACTGGAAGACAAGTTTTGTGGAATGAGGTCCTCCTGGAGGAGAATCTGGCTTCTCAGTTTCTAAATTTCTCAGGCCTAGAAGCTTTTGGGATTAGCTGCTTATCCTCATTAAACAGTTTTCACAGGTAGGGAGTTCCCTTGGAGCTGTGGGGTTGTGTGGAAGTAGCTTGGCTACCTTCTCCCCCAATCCAGAACCCACTGAGGCCTGAGAGCTGAGCCAGTGGAAGCCAAGTGCCCTCAGCCCTTGATGACACCCACTTTCTGTTTGGCATGGGGGCTGGGGGTGGGTAATTCCAGTCTCAGGAGCAGAATTAAGGGAATCTGGGTGTGGGGTTGAAGAGTGGGCACGGGGTTTGGGGTTTTCAGAGTTTTTTTTTTTTTTTTTTTTGAAAGATTTTTATCCATTTATCTGACAGAGACACAGCGAGAGAGGGAACACAAGCAGGGGGGGTGGGAGAGAGAGAAGCAGGCTTCCCGCTGAGCAGGGAGCCCGATGCGGGGCTCAATCCCAGGACCCTGGGATCATGACCTGAGCTGAAGGCAGACGCTTAACGACTGAGCCACCCAGGCGCCCCGGTTTTCGGTTTTATTGAGGTCATTTCACTTCACAGCTGTGAGATGATGAACGGGCACATGAAGTTGCAGCTGTCAGCTCCCACAGCACGAGACAGTGTCCCAGAAGAGAGATCGCAGGAGTAGATACCTGCATCTGAAACAGCACGGGAAACAGGCCCTTGCCAGCCTTCTGTCTGGTCAGGAGCCTTCTCTGAGGCCCGTTGCCAGAGTAAAATATGACCTCCGTAGCATGGCTGCCTTGGTCCCTGGGGGCAGGTGTAATAAATACCACAAACTGCGTGACTTAAAACAACAGAAATTTATTCTCTCCCACTTCTAGAGCCTGGAAGCCTGAAATCGAGGTGTCAGCAGGGCCACGCTCTCTGAGACTCTGGGCACGGTCCTTCCTGGCCTCCTCCAGGCCTCTGGTGATGGCCAGGAGTCTGTGGTGTCCCTCGACCTGTAGCTGCACACTCCAGCCTCTGCCTCTGTCGTCACGCACTCCACCTGGTGTCTTTCCACTGTCTTCCTCTGTCCTTGTCTGTGTCTGTGTCCCAGTTTTCCCTTTTGATAGGAACACCAGGTCTACTGGATTGAAGTCCACCTTATGACCTTGTTTTAGCTTGATTGTCTCTGTAAAGACCCTATTTCCAAATAAGGTCACATTCTGATGGGCTGGGGGTTGGGACTTCAGTGTATCCTGAAAACGACCTGAGGGCCAGTTCGTATCAGAGCCATTGAACTTCCTTCCTGTCTGATTAGTCAAGAGTGCAGGCTGTGGAGTCAGGCTGCTGGGTGCTGCCAGGTCTGTGCCGTGGGAGCTGGTGACCTAACAAGAGCTCTGAGGTGGAAGAGCTGGTGTGCACATCGCAGGAGGCGCCGCAGGAGAGCGCGCGCAGTATGGGGCCAGCATGGCAGGAGCACCAGGACATGTGATGCCACCTCCTTTGATGGCCCTTTTTCTTTTGAGAGAAAGTCATAATTAAAGTTTAAAAAATTTAGCCTTCTCCTTGGTGAAGAGGTGGATTAAGAAGCTGAAGGTACAAGTGGCAGCCCTCATGGGAGGATTTATCTCCTTGCATGGTTGAAATGCTCAGGGAATTTCTGGGGAAGGAGCATGTGTGCCTCCCTATGTCCTTATGAGTGGGTATTTCATTTCTTCAGCAAATGCATAGTGAGCTGCAGTGGGCATTGGAGGAGTGAGAGCTAAATGTGCAGGTATGTGACGGGAGAGTACTCAGAGAGGTCAGCAAGTGCAAAGGCCCTGAGGGAGCAGATCAAAGGTTGTGGCTCAGGAACAGGATGGTAGTGGGAGATGAGCACGTTTGGCTTGGCGCCATGTGGGTATATGCAGTCATGTAATGAGACTACTCTCTTCACCAAAGAAAACTGTACAGAGGTGTGTGACTCTTTTATACAAGGTGGGATTGGCTAGAGGCCAGGACCATCCTGCTGTTTGTCCTTACCCCCTTTGGGAGTTGCCATTTGATGAAGTGAGTAAATCTTAAGGTTTTGGGTTTTTTGTTGTTGTTGTTTTTTTAAGTTCTTCAGTCTTTGGGGCGCCTGGGTGGTTCAGTCATTTAAGCCTCTGACTCTCAGCTCAGGTCATGATCTCAGGGACATGAGATTGAACCCTGTGCTGGGCTCCACGCTGGGCTTGGAGCCTGCTTAAGATTATCTCTCTCCCTCTCCTACTCCCCTACACCCTGCTCGCATGCTCTCTCTCTCAAAACAAAAAAATTAAGTTTTTCAATTTTTGACTAAATATAGCTTTAAAAAAATTGTGTTCACCACAAGCAGTAAAAGCGCAACAGTATATAAAGGAAAAATTAAATATCCCCACCTGCCCATGCATGCATGCGTGCACGTGTGTGTGCACACACATACTTTGGTAACAGCCTGACCTGTGTCTTCCTTTATTTCTTGCTGAGTCCCATGTGGGTTGTGATGTGGAATACATTGGCTTGTTTTTACAGTAACATTGTGGGACTATGCAGCATATCTGGGCATCTCACTCCTCTGCTTTCCAACCTATAGTTCGTGGACGCTCCCCCATGGCATTGGGTCTTAGTTGGTCTCCAGCTAATGGCCCCTGGATTTTCCATAGTGTGGGCACATTATGGAATTCTGCTCTGTTGGCAGGTGACCTGTTAAATGTAGGGCTCCTGTTGTACAGTTCCATTTGGTGTCACTCAACTCTAGATGGGCTCTCTGGATTCCCTGCGCCCAAACCTCATCTTCTGCTGTCATGTCTGCATGAAGTGACAGCACTAGAAACTTCAGGACCCCACTTAACTGACTCACACCTACATTCACTTGGTCACCAAGTCTGGTGGCCTTGGCTGCAGAACACACCACCCATCTGTCACCTTTCCCCTTGTTCCTCCCACCACCACCCAGGTTCCAGACTTCACTTGTGGCTTAGCCAGGCTTGGCTGGCCTCCCCATCTCCAGCCTCTCTCGTGGCCGGCATGTCCCTCAGGCCCCACAGGGATCTTTCCTTCCCTCACTTGTGGCTTCTCACCTTGAACAACCATCAGGGGGTCCATCTGTACTCGGACTCATCCTTGCTAGAGGTTGTGCCAGGTGTGCCCACAGTGTTCCAGCGCTCGCTCACCCAGCCCTGCACCTGAGGCCAAGGGCCCTGTGTACCTGGCAATCTTGGGTTGGAAAAGACTTGGCATTTCCTGAGAGCTTCACCTCTGCTCTGTGCGTGTACACGTGTGTGTCCATCTGCCCGCACTAATCCTGGTTTCCATCTCTTTGTCCCCCACAGTGAGGGTTCCCTATTTCATTGACTTGAAAAAACCGCAGGATCAAGGTTTGAATCACACGTGTAATTACTACCTCCAGCCAGAGGAAGACGTGACCATTGGAGTCTGGTGAGTGACCAGCGGCGTGGCCAGTGTTGTCCAAGACGATCGCTTGTCCGTTTTTATCCTCCCACTTTCCGTTTCCAAAGCAGATATCTTGGCTAAATTTGATCCTAATGGAGCATGATGAGATGGCATCAGATCTGTTCTGAGGTTTTCAAACATCGACAGCTTTGTGAACCAGGCTGTTTGTGGAAGAGAGCCTTATTTCCAGGGGGGAAAAAAAGTATGAGCACAGAATCATGAGCACAGATTTGAGATACACCCTTTCTTCTCAGAGAAGGGAACTTGAAAACAGCTGGATTTCTTCCATGCATAGTGCTTACAGCCACTGATAATGGTGGTGTTTGCTCTCTTCTTGTATTGACTTTTTTGAGCCAAAATTTAAACGGGACTTAAGCTCTGTGACTTCTTTCTGTCTCCTTGGAATATGTTTTCCTGCTTTTCCCTATGGACAAGTGGGTGTTTCTGAACAACTAAATTAAAATTGACCAACTTTTCTGTGGCATTTTCTTTCTTCTCTCTGAAGCAGCTTGGCATCACTGCCCCTTTATGTAGCTGGGTTTTCTCTTTCAGCAGCCGTGACGTCCTCTCTGCCCTTGCAGAAAACTGCTGTGTACGTGAGATGCTTCTAAACAAAATGCTGTGGGTGGCTTCCCAGTGTGGGCTGTGAGGAAGTTCAGCCATATCTAATAGTCCTGGGTAGAGAACATAAAATGGGAAGGGAGATTATTGTTCTAGCAATTAATGCTGGGACTAGGCTTTTGTTATTTCTGGTTTAATTTAATCTTACATTTACTGACCAGTGTGTGTGCATGGGACACTTTGCTCTTGTGTCCTCAGTCAGAAGGTTGATGTGTTTTGCTCAGAGCTATCTGGTAGGAATTGGTCAGCCCTCCTGCTGGTTAGTGTGGTCTATGCTTTGAGACATGGACAGGGGTTTGTTAGGGATCTCTTCCTTGGGTAGTGGTTAGGGCAGTCTATTGCAGGAGGGATGTTTGTGCTGCTTATACTTAGGCTGAAAGCTCCTACGGCAGTCACCCAAGAAGGTTGTACTGGGTGACAGCAATGGCAAGACTCAAGTTAGTGACAGCCAGGCTGTATGCTGCTGGGCCTCAGCTGGCCTGCCCGGGTCTGTGCCCTGTACTGGCATGAGGATGCCGTGGGCCCTCGGGCAGCAGTAGGCCTTGTTCTTAGCTATCTGTTTGTGAGCACAAGCTCTCCATCTGGCAGGGGGCAGGAGAGCCCTGGGAATAGGGTCCCTCTCCTCTGGCTGGGAGCTTCCCGGGCCTTTGTCAAGAGCATCAGGTTTGGGGTAAGCTGGCTCCTGGAAGTCATCAGCGTCCAGGACTTTTAAAATGTGCCTTTTGGTCCCATGGGTTTATAATTGCTGTAGAGTGATCATTATGGTCAGAATCAGAACCACCCAAATGCGATCCTCTGGAATGGGTCAAAGAAACGTTAGAAGTGAAATGCTAAGGGGCACCTGGGTGGCTCAGTTGGTAAGCATCTGACTCTTGATTTTGGCTCAGGTCATGATCTCAGGGTCGTGAGATTGAGCCCCATGTCATGCTCCGCACTGGGCCTGGAATCTGCTTAAGATTCTCTCTCTGCCCCTCTCTCCTCTGCCCTCTAAAAAGAAAAAGAAGAAGTAAAATACTGAAACTTAAGTAGAAAATTTAAAAATGGCCATTTAATATCTGTAAGCATTCTTGCTAATAAATGTGAATGTGTTTTACAGAAAAACCTATTCATTCGGACCCTCCCCAGCAATTAACAGTATTTGATGTATGAATAGCCTACTTATTCTTAGTAGGCTAAGAACAAGGCCTACTGCTGCCCGAGGGCCCACAGCATCCTCATGCCAGTACAGGGCACAGACCTGCAGGCCAGCTGGGGCCCAGCAGCACTTCAGATTAACTGGAGCATCTCCCTGAGGGAGAGTTCTGGCCAGAGAGACTGAGTGCACCTGCCCAGTCCAGTGTGGGGTGAACCGAACTGACACCAGTCCATCCATGTAACATGTTGGCTTGCAGCATCTCCTCCTACAGAGATGGGTCTGCTCCCAGATGCCTTGTGAGCAGGCTCTGGAATCTGCTGTACGTTAGAAATGGTGCTTTAAGGGTGTCCAGCTTCTAGTCCAGCTCATAATGATCAGTGTCACTGAATTATCACCTATGACAGCATGAACTATCTTATGTCCGTTGTGACTTAAATTGTGTACAGCTTAGACTAGATAGTCCAAGATGGTGGAGGACTTAGTTTCGTCTGGTCCCAGGAATTCAGCTAGATAGCTCTCAAATCATTCTGAACACTAGCGAACTCAACTGGAGATGTAAGAAAAGAATAGCTTCAACTCTACAAACAGAAAAGCGACCACTTTCTGCAAGAGTAGGAGGTGCGGAGAAGTGGATCCCAGGTGATATATGGGAAGATAAACCGCAGGGGGAGGGAGCCTCCATAAACCGACTACTGGAAAGTGATAGAGCCGCGGAGCACAAAATCGGAACTTTTAGAAGTCTGCTCCGCTGAGGGACGTCGCTCCAGTGGCTAAGGCGGGGGGGCGGTGGAACCCTCTCTGGGACAGTGTGATCTCAGGACCCTCGGGGTCACAGAAAGACCAGGGGTGCCTGAGTGCAGCAGAGCTCCCAGGTATTGGAGCGGGGAAGCTGGCTGCAATCAGTGAGCCCAGGAGTGGGCTCTCAGCTCGGGATTGCCATATACCGTGAACCGTGGCATGGTTGGGCGAGTGCTCTCCAAGCAGGTTCCCAGCAAGCAGCAGAGCCGTAGGGAGACCACATTTCTCCGTGGAGAGGAGAAGCGCTGGTATGCACTGCAGGAATCTGCTGAGTTTGGAGACTCCAAACAGGGTCGCATGCCTGAGATAGAAACGCTCGGTGACAGGCTAGGTGAGCACGGAATGTGAACTGAGACCCTGGAGACAGGAGTGATTGACTGCTTTCCCTGAGGGTGCGCTGAGGAGTGGGGCCCTGACTCCCGGAGACTGGGAGGCCGCCATTTTCATTTTTATTCTCATTCTCTAAAGCTGTGCTGCAGAAAGCCTTCAGGGAACAAAAGCCAGAGCGAGCAAGCAATCCGGAGCAGATTACTTAACCTGGCCATCTGGCAAGGGCAGTGCAATTCTGCCCAGGGGCAAAGACACCTGAGAATCAGCGCAACAGGCCCCTCCCCCCAGAAAACCAGCAAGAACATCCAGCTAAGACCCAAGTTTACCGAATACACAGAACTGCAAAACTCCAGCGCTAGTGGAAAATAGTATATAGAATTCATGATTTTTGTCCCATGATTCTTTAGTCTTTGAATTTTATTTTTTTCTCTTTCCTTTTCAGCCAGTTTCTTATTTTATCAACTCTTCTTTTTAAATCTTTTTTAATTTTCATTTTTACAGTTACAGTTTATCCTTTCATTATATTTAATTTTATTTTTGTATATATATAAGTTTTTGTTCCTTAACAATTTTGGGATGCAGTTTCTTCTAACAAACAGCCCCCAAGACACCCAGAATCTAGTGTCTGGCTCTGTTCTCTTCACCTGTCTGATTGTATTCTCTCTTTTCCTTGTTTTTTTATTTTTGTTAAAGGGTTTTTAAATTTTCATCCTTATAGTTATGTTCTATCCTTTCATTCTATTTAATTTTATTTTTGTATGTATATAAGTTTTTCTTCCTTTACAATTTTGGGATCTAGTTTTCTAATAAACAGACCAAAATATAGAATCCACTATATTGCTCTGTTCTGATCACATCTGATTATATTCTCTCTCTTTTATTTTTTTCAATTTTGGGTCTTTTCTGATTTGTAGTGTATATTTCTCTGGGGTCATTGTTGCCATTTTAGTATTTTGTTCTCTCATCTATCTATTCTTCTCTGGACAGAATGACAAGACGAAAAACTCACCTCAAAAAAAAGAACAAGAAGCAGTACTGACTGCCAGGAACCTAATCAGTATTAAGTAAGGTGTCAGAACTAGAGTTCAGAATAACAATTATAAAGATACTAGCTGGGGTTGAGAAAAGCATAGAAGACACTACAGGAATCCCTTTCTGGAGAAATAAAAGAAATGAAATCTAACCAAGTTGAAAACAAAAAGGATATGAATGAGATGCAATCAAAAATGGAAGCTGTAATTGCTAGGATAAATGAGGTAGAAGAACGAAATAGTGATATAGAAGACCAAATGAGAAAAAGAGAGATAAACAACTACTGGATCATGAGGGCAGAATTCGAGAGAGAAGTGATACCATAAAACGAAACAATATTAGAATAATTAGGATCCCAGAAGAAGAGGAAAGAGAGAGGGGGGGCAGAAGGTATATTGGAGCAAATTATAGCAGAGAACTTCCCTAATGTGAGGAAGGAAATGGGCATTCAAGTCTAGGAGGCACAGAGAACGCCCCTCAAAATCAATAAAAATAGGTCAACACCCCGACATAATAGTGAAACTTGCAAATCTCAAAGACAGAAAATCCTGAGGGCAACTCAGGACAAGAGATCTGTAACCTACAAGGGTAGAAACATTAGACTGGCAGCAGACCTATCCACAGAGACCTGGCAGGCCAGAAAGGACTGGCATGATATATTCAGGATGCTAAATGAGAAAAATAATGGAGCCAAGAATACTTTACCCAACTAGGCTGTCACTCAAAATGGAGAGAAAAAGCTTCCAGGGCAAACAAACAGAAACTGAAAGGATTTGTGATCACTAAACCAGCCCTGCAAGAAATATTAAAAGGGATTCTTTAAGTGAAGAGAGAGCCCAAAAGTAACATAGACCAGAAAGGAGCAGAGACAATGTACAGAAACAGTGACTTTACAGGTAATAAAAAGGCACTAAATTCATATCTTTCAATAGTTACTCTAAATGCCCAAATCAAAAGACACAGGGTATCAGATGGATAAAAAAACAAGACCCGTCAATGTGCTGCCTGCAAGAGACTCATTTTAGACCCAAAGACACCTCCAGATTGAAAGTGAGGGGGTGGAAAACCA